CAGCCCTTGGTCCCTGTAAATCATTCCCAGGTCTCAAACAGCAGCAGCCTCAGTGTGGGTCTTTCCGTGGGTTGCTGTCAGGCTCCCTGAGCTGACTCTCGGCTTCCCCACCGTGCCTGGGAAAGGGGCCGTGGCGAGGCTCTGCTGGCCGCACAGCCACCGGGAGTGAGCCCCAGGCCAACAGGCTCCCTTCTGCCGCCACTTTGCCCCGCACCATCTGGACTGTCACCGTGGATGAATTCTGGCCGGGTCGATTAAATGTAGTTTCTCGGCTTCCTCCTTGCACATTTATTTTCCAAAATTTTCATAATGAGCAGATCCTTCTTTTATAAACAGGAAACAGTGTTATTCATAAAGAATATTGGCACAAAGAAAATTATAATAGGGTAAAAAACACTCATTTAAAAAATACGACTGTAGGATAACATATGAATTGAACTTCAAGAAGACAAAATCCCCAAACACGAGGGTCTTTCTCAGAAATGGTCTCCCGAAACCACAGCAAAGCTGGTCGTTTCTGTCACCACAGAGGTCAGGATAAAACGCTGGAGCAGACGTAGTGTTGGAGGCAGAAGTCCAGCCTCTGGGTCTCACAGGGGCGAGAGCCGGCGCCAGGGAAGGGTCAGGAAGAATTATAAAGGTTATATACTTGTCATGGGCGAGCCCCATCATTTTTTTTAAACCAACATTAAAAAAAAGAAAAGAAAACGCAGCTAAGTTCTCTTCTGACATTAGTATCTACACCTTTAGGGACTAAATTAGTGCAGTTTTAATGCTCAATTTTGAGGATGTTACCAGGAGAATTATAGACAATTTAAAAACATCAGAGGCAAGAAATCAAATCTGCCCTGTGCTTATCACAAAATGTTAGCGTGCAAGTCTCTTCTGCTTTTTGGAAGCATTCGGGGACTCTGACGGGGAGAGGCCTTTACTGACGCGCCGTGATGTTCCCGAGAGGCCACTGGCTTAATGAGGCCCCGGCCCGAGTGGCCGTCTGCGGCCCCTGGCCACCCAGCTGTCCATCCCGCTCCACTGGGCGCTCGCCGAGGTCTCAAGCTCTGTTCACTCAAAGGCTGATGTTTCATCTAAGAGACTCACGCGCCTTCGCCTATAAAACATGAAATATAAAACCACAGAAACACAGCTCTTGCTTCTTTACAAACATGGTGATTAAAAGACAGCACAGAAAACACGCAGAAGGATGTGCCGAGGCCTTTGGGGATGGGTTTGAGCCGCGATGTCTCTCCTGTGCCGGGTGTTGATTTTCAAAGGATCTGCGGTATCGAACCCCAGTCTACGCCAAAGACACGCAGCCTTGTGCTTTGTCTCTTATTTATGAGCCATCGGAGGAACTGCTTGTCACGATGCTACCATTTCAGGGGCACTAGGAACACTGAAGTCGTTAGAAATGCGAATATCAGATGCAACAGCAGGAAAGGAAGACCAGGCCGCTGAGGAAGATTGCTTAAGAAAATACGCGTCGCCGGCAGCCAGACAGCAGTGAGTGACCTGCTAACGAGAGAGCCTATGAGCCACGACGGGGACGAGACGGGTTTTCCTTTCCTTCTTTGCCAAGTCTCTGCAACTGCGTGGCAGACAGAGTCCAACAGAGGCCAGATGTTGGGACAGAAGGCAAAATGCTAAAAAGTGCCTTAAAACAGTGCTCTCCTTTCTCTCTCTTTAAATTGGTTTGAGAGAGAGAGCAAGTGAGAGGGAGAGAGAAACGCTGATCTGACCTTCACCAGTTGCCTCCTGTATGCACCCTGCCTGGGCATCAAATCTGAAACCTGGGTACGTGTCCTGCTCAGGAGTTGAGCCCGTAACCCCTCGGTGCAGGGGACGACACTCCGTTTTCTTGGTACACAGATGCCATCGACTTATTGTCACCAGTTTCTTGTGGAAAACACTGTCTNACCCAATTGATCCACACCGGCCGAGCTCTCCGTTTTCTTGGTACACAGATGCCATCAACTTATTGTCACCAGTTTCTTGTGGAAAACACTGTCTCGGATGGACAGGTGGGGAGTGCACACCTACTGGGTGCCTGCATGGGGCCAGTAGGAGCCAGAGGTTATGACCTGTCCTCAGAGGGAGGGAACAGAGATGCGATAAGGGGTTTGCCCAGCAATGCGCATCTGGAGGGCCACTGTCATTCACACTCCTCCGCAGGAGGAAAGCCCCCCTTGACTCCAACCGGGGTCCCTCACCCACGCTCCTGATCTCAGGCGTCCTAGGTCAAGCTCTTACCCTCATGATTGAGACGGTTGCTTTAGTCTCTGTCCCTCCAGGTTTGGAGCCATTCGGTCAGAGAATGTGCCCTTCTCCTGGAGACCCTCAGGGCCCAGCTCAGGGCCTGGCTCACTGGAGGAAAAGTACACGGCCCAGGGGAGACTGGGAGGTGCTCAGGCTCGGGGTTTAAAGGGAGGACTCTGGAGTGGCCTCTCTGGGTTGGAGTTATGTCTCTGCCACTTCCCAGTCGCATGACCTGGATCAAACCCTGCCTGTGCCTGGGAGACAATCCGTAGAGTGAGGCCGATGAGGAAGATGATGGTGTGGCCTCGTCAGGGGTGTTGGCAGAATTCTATGAGTCGATCATGCCCGGGGGCCCTTGGAGCGTGTCTGGCCATGGCAGGTGTGAGCTGTGACCACCCCAACACAAGCCTGGCTTAGACTCTCTTCCTTTACTGACCCGGGGGAGTTTCGGCCGCCTCACTGGTGATAAAACAGTCACGTGTGATGACCGCCCAGAGCCGGGGAACAGGAAAGCTCTTGGATAATTTCCCCCACGGCTCTCGGCCTTGCCTTAAAAATGTCACAAGGTCTCAAAGAATTCTGAAAAACGGACTTTCAATGACGAGTGGTTCTCTTTTCTCAGGATCATTTTCTGATCCGAGACACCATCTCCTATGACATCTATGAACTGCATCGGATGAGAGCTGACACAAACCCTGTCTTAGAAATCCTGGAAGAAGGACTCCTTTTTGTCCCCCGTGTGCACTTCATTTTGGTTTCCCTCAGGTTTCTAAAAAGCGATCTTTTAGGAAACGAAGCATTCATCATATTTGAAAGGTATCAGCGTTTAAGGTGTCTGAAGACAGTGGGGTTGGGTGTGCGCCTATTTTGCACTTGTAAGCCATTTAATGTGACTTTATTCATCTCCAGAATACTGTCTTTTTATTTCGTGGAATTCGATTTGTTTTAATGAGCCATCAACTGCAATGCAGGGAAGGGTGGAGGGTCTGAGCACCGCCACAGCTGCTGGTCGGGTGCCACCCCCCACAGTGCGGAGGAAATTTCCATCCAGTGCAGCGAACTTACCACCTTGGTGTTTGAAAGAGGAGCCATCGAAATAAGCACGGGCAAGAAGAAAGGGGCATTTTACTTGCAAATCTATCTTTAAGAAATGTGTGATTTGGTTTAAATGAAGACTGTGTATAGTACAGGTTTAGATAATGATGCCAGGACACGGGGCCTCAGTGCAGTGCGCTGAACACATGATGCTCGGCTAAGACCTGCAATGTCTGCTCTCCACGGGGACACAGGAGAGATCAGCATTCTGCAAGCTGAAGGTGTTCCAGCTTAAATATGAAGAAGGGACCCACGCTGATGCAAACTTCCTGGCTTGTCACCTTTCTTTCCCCTTCCTGCCAGAGAGGGGTGGTTTCACCTTCTCAGAACGGGGCAGAGCACCCCCTGACCTGGGTGGGCATTTGCACTTCACATCGACTGGGATGGGGGTGCACACGAGCGTGTGGTGGGCTTGGCAATAAACAGCTAATGAAAAGCCTCCCTCGGCTGTCATCTGCACAGGGCACTACACATACACAGGATGGTTAACTTTGTTAACACGAGTCTTTATCACTCACCCTATTTATTTGCACTAATCAGGACCTGAAAGCAACATTTTCCCAGTTGAGGTTGACTAAGGGCCTGGGAAATTCTCGTGACACCATGATTAACGGATTATTATTTCTTTAATATTATTTTTAGGCTGAAGTCTTGGACCAAAATGCAAACTTTGAGGGCACCTTTATCTCTTAGTGAGAGTCACCTACTGTGGTTTTCTCCTTGCCCAGTGCTCTGCCTCTCTTTCCAAGGCCCCATGCGGATAGTTATGTAACAGTGACGATTCCTGCAGGACATTGATCTCTGGGAAGGAAGTCCAGTCTCCAGTCTTGACTGTGACCTTGGACAAATCAGTCTCCCTACCTGGCTTTATTTTTTTTTCACCTAAAAGTTAGAGACTTTACATCTCTTCAGTCCTATTCAACTTCAAGCATATTATCTGATAATTACCAGAAAATTTGATTGACAAAATACTTCTCTCTCCATGGCCTAGAACAATTCTGAACATCATGTTATTTAAAAACATTACCTAATAAGCTTTGAGGAAGTTTGCTTATCTGTTCACACGTGTGACCCATTTCACACAGCTCCCCAGATCTCACACCCAGACCATCTTGCTTAAAGATGTAATTTTAACCATGATATATTCATAATTCTGGTCAACCTGGTAAAATGAAAACGCACAGGAGAGGCATAAAAGATGACAGAAAAACAACTCAACAATAGGAGAACGTGTGACTATCAACATAATGTATTTTCAGTTGACTAAAATTTATTTAAATAGGACATTGGACGCTGTGATTGGAATGAGAAAATAGCAGTGTAATGACCATCACTGATGAAGGTGACAGTTCTGTTCTCACGGTTGGCACAACCCTTGGCTATTTCCTTATGTTTCCAATGAGGTTATGTCCCGTCAACAGCAGTGTCTCATCTGCTGTCCCTCAATGTGGATGAGGGAGGCGGGCTGTGCCACTTCAGCAGGTCCTTTCTTGGGTTGATCCTCTCCTGGTCTCATGAGTACCTTGTTTTAACCACCTGAGCTAAAATAATATAGAACTTGACATAATGAAAGAGATATTTAAAACAATGAGAGAGAAAATAATTCTGAATATATGTGATAATCATTTCTTTCCTTTTTTTTACTCTTTTAGAGACAAGGTGCTGGGGCAACCAATGGAAAAGACAAGACATCTGGCGAAAATGGTAAGATGACACCAGTAGCCCAGCTGCTTCCTCTCTTCCCACCCGCAGCCTTGGGCACCCGTGGGTGTGGATCGCGCCTCCCATAGAAAGCAGCTTACTCTGTATGTCTGTGCTTCCGTTTAGAGGGGATTTTAGCAATTCTCAGCAGCACCGTGGCCTGGTTTTACAAAGGAGACCGAGCTAGCTAAATGCAGTAGTAAGAACAGTTTCCTCCCCAAAAGAGGACTCCCGTTCTGGGCGACACGGTAATTACAACGCGAATATAGTTCTCTGCTTTCTTCATTAGGGTTGGTGAGAACCATCCCAGTTGTTGTGAGAAGAAAATAAGACCAAATGAGATAAGTGCTTTGAAAACTGTGAAGTGCTTGACTCCTTAAAGGAGGCTGTAAAATCTACTTCAGCCCCCCTGCACACAGAGCACAGTCCCCTGCAGCCGTTCACCGGGAACTGAAGGTACATAGTGGAGACCCGAGTGTTTGCGCCCTGGGACCCCAGTCTCCACCGTGGCCTTAAATTGTAGGAATGATCATATTTTATGGATGGGGAAACTGAGGCTTGGAGTAGTCCAACTGAGGACTAGGATGTGACCAGGAATGGGAAGACCGTGGCTTTTGAAGGAGAAGGAGCTCGGAGTAGCCCAGCTCCCCAACTTTAGGGGTTGTAATGGAAGATGACTCCTAATAATGAAAAATCCCCAATGAGCACTGAGGACTCCAGTTATGGTTCTGGGGAGGTTCTGGGGAGCTCTTCCTTTTTGTTAATTATAAAATGAACTCCTCTTTTGTGGAAAACTAGTCCTGCTTCCCACTGAATGAGACTTATGCCTACGCATCCCATTGTGGGCCGTGCCAATCTCACACACCAGCTGTAAAAATTCCTGGAGGGCCTCAAAACCACCTTAAATGCTGGGGCCTGAGCAAAACTCAAGCACATTCCCCTGGACTGTTCTCATCAGCATCCGGATGACTCAACCAGCTGTTTCGGGCCACCCTATAGGTAGGGTCAGGGCGATGGCTCTTGTGATAAAAGGTCTTCACATCAATAAGTAGATGGTTTGGTGCCCGATTGTCCTGATCGGAGCTGGCAGGGAGGGCAGGGAAGGAAATAGGTTCTTTCACAAGGCTTTCCTGGTGCCCAGGGCTCTCCCTGTGCCCCCGTGTGAGCTGGAGAGGGTGGCCTGCCCGGTTCACAGATTCATGTCCATCTCTTCACTGGAGTTCACGCCCTAGGACCTCACAGCCCCAGAATCACGGGGCTCCATAGTCAAGACTCCTCAGAGGTCCCCTAGAGCACCAGTTCTCCAAGTTATGGTTAAAACTCTTCTTTATATGATTCTGGATATCAGAGGATATTCACTTCTGAGTGGAAAAGGGGAAATTTAGAAATCGAGATTATTTGGCGGTTAAAAAATAATCGTGTGGTGTAAATTCAAATTATTATTAACCCATACCTTAATTTCAGACAAAACTGCCCATGTATGATATATGTACATGGTATTTTGTTCAATTATTAAGTTTGTACTTTTGCCTCTAAAAATGAACAAAGACAAAAGTTAGTAACAACCCAACAAAGATCAGGATAAAGACTTCTGGAAGTGGGCTAACAGATATTTTTCTAAAAATCTAAGTTGCTTAGATTTCTTATTCTTAAATTCCTAATATGAAAAGATTATCTTGGAATGTCTGTGTTAACTGAATATTGCATTCCATCGAAAATCAAATTATTTTACTATGTTATCACAGGTATCTAGAGAGCTCCTTTACCTTAATGTATATTTTCTACTCATACAAATGAAGCTGCCTACCTGTGTTGGAGGAGCAGGGACCCCTGAGAATAAAACTCTGCAGCAGAGAGCATTAAAACGTGATGAGATTTGGATAGCAGTCAGATTGTTGTTGGTACTCAATTAGTCCCAGAATTCATTAGTCATCTACAAGGGGAAGGGTTCTTATTCCAAATATTATAAACTTAGTTTAGGACTCCATTTAACACTTAAAGCATGATGATTATGGAGTGAATTATGACTGCCTTGAGACAGTAATTTGGATCACAGAAGACACAAGTCAGATACATTAAAACTCCAGAGAGATCTCTTGGGTTCTGCCGGAATTTTGTTATATTAAATATCATCTCAAGAGGGCCATCGGCTGGGAATGTAGATTCTTGTTTTTTCGCAGTGGTGTTTATCGATGTGAAATATGACATTTATCCACTCTGTACCCAGAATGCCCCTTAAATATGACCCTTGTCCACTCTACCCAGAATGCCCCTTAAATATGACCCCTGTCCACTCTGTACCTAGAATGCCTTTTCACTTTCCAGGGCACCAGCCTCTCTGAATACATAGCCCCGCATATTCAGATGTTCTTTTTGTTATTTTTTTATTTTTATTTTTGTTTAAAGTATTACAGATGTCAGATGTTCTTCATCTCATCTGCCGTGTGGAGATAGGTTTTTCAGAAATATTAGGGATATTATTATTTTTTTAATTAAAAAATAAATTCATTAGGATCTTGATGGTTCGGAGATTTCCATTCCCATATGAACAAAGTCCCTTCAATGTCTGATTAGTTTAGACCAAGGACTTCACTTGTTTCTTGATGTAATGCCCTACTTCACAGCTCCTGTTCCATCTCACCTGCTGCTTCAGAATCCCACATGCTTAGAAGTACAGACACAACCTTCTGAATCTAGATTATGCACCCCCCATTTCCAGCTGGGAGACCATCAAAAGACTTTTTTGCATGACAATAATTTTGCTGGATATCTTGATCTGCATCTTGAAACTTGTCACATCACCCAGAGAGACTCTAAGAGTTAACTTTTTTATTGACACGGAAAAGTAGAAAAACACTGGAGGGAGAGTGGCTGCTGGGAGGCTTCCAATCCCGAGGAAAGATTTATGAATAATAAACCTCTGGCCGGGCTCACTTTCAGAGCTGCAGGCTTACCCAGGCTAAATTGAATTTCTAAAACGGGAGTGGATTTCTCCTGTCTTAGGGAGCTGTGATACATTTGCTTCCAAAAGGCTCTGTCTTTGGAGGTGAAAGGCACAGATGCGCCTGATTTTAGTAAGAGAATCCCCTCCAATCCCAGCTGTCGGTAAATGTCCGGAAGGCAGGTATTATTCTGAGCCACCTGTGGGGCTGACAAATGGCAGTTGTCATTTCTTTGAGGTGTGAGCTGCTGATCAAACACTCAGGCATTGTATTGCGTAGGCGCACCCACTTTTTGGGGGGAAACAGATTGTGGCTTGAAAAATTTCTGGTAGGTGTGGGGAGATGCTAGGAGTGCATATTATTTAGTTTGCTTTGATATAATTAAACGATTGCTAACAATGAATAATCTGAAATGTTGGACTGGGTACCCTCCTCTCCTTGTTTCGCATAAAACCGAAACCATAGAAGTTCATCTCCCCTTTAGACTTGAGGGCACACATTCACACACACACATTGTTAATTTATTCTCTGCTGTCAAGTAGGTGGAGAGAGAGATTGATGGAGGAGAACCTGATTGATTCATAGACAGATAGATACATTATTATTAATTGGAGCATGGTTTTTCCAATAAGAAATAAAATTCAATATTTATTCCCAAAGCACTCTGCACCCACCCCCTTGGCTCCAGGTCACCCAGTAGATGCTAAAAATTTCCCCTTTGGTGTTTTTGCTGCCCGATGACCTATGAACTGGCCTGGGCAGGTGTTGCTGGGACCCATTCGCTCTATCACTGCTCCCTGGTTTGGGGAAGTGTGTGGGTGAGGTTTCGTGTGGGCGGGTGAGCGATGAGCTTGGAGTAAGAAGGAACCCACGCTGGGCCCGGGACCAAAAGGCGGCTGAGCTCTCAGTGCCCGCTATCGCACCCAGAGGGGCTCAGCTCTGCGGGGCTCGGCGAGAAGAGGAAGCGCAGTTTCTAAAAAATACAGAGGGCTCGTGCCATGTGTCTGTCTAACGGGGATGGGACTTGGTCTGTTTGGAGCCGGGGATGTGGCGGAGAGGAGCCCACAGGCCGCAGTGCAGGCTCGTGGCTCTTCCCCCGGCTGCGCGTGCGGCGGTGGGAGCCGGGGGCGTGAGGCTCCACTCCACGTGCGGGTCTCAGGTGCCAATTCTGCGTAAACTGCCGAGGGGTTTAGGTGGGAACTTACTGTCCTACACTAAGCCTCTTGGAAAAGGGAAAAAGGCAACTTCAAATGTTGAGAGGTAGCGTGTACCAGAAACGCACTGTTTAAAATTCCACGGACTGCACCTGGCCGTGGGAAAAAGGCCTGCCTAAGGGACGGTCATTAAGGCGGCCGCGACCCCCAGCAGCGAGCTCTGAGTCTGCTCCTGCTGCTGGCCGGGCACTCACCCTGCTGCACACTCACCCTGCTGCACACTCACCCTGCTGGCACACTCACCCTGCTGCACACTCCCCCTGCTGCACACTCACCCTGCTGCACACTCACCCTGCTGGCACACTCACCCTGCTGGCACACTCACCCTGCTGCACACTCCCCCTGCTGCACACTCCCCCTGCTGCACACTCCCCCTGCTGCACACTCACCCTGCTGCACACTCACCCTGCTGGTGCACCACCCTGCTGGCACACTCACCCTGCTGCACACTCACCCTGCTGGTGCACCACCCTGCTGCACACTCACCCTGCTGCACACTCACCCTGCTGGTACACTCACCCTGCTGCACACTCACCCTGCTGCACACTCACCCTGCTGGTGCACCACCCTGCTGCACACTCACCCTGCTGGCACACTCACCTTGCTGGCACACTCCCACGCCGCCCTGAACACCGCAGGCTCCGGAGGCTTCCCAGGCAAAAAGTCGAAGCCTCTGGTCTCCATCTGGGTCTCTTGGCCTTCTTTCTCTTTTCACCCCCATATTAGAAACAACCAGAAAGAAAGGGTCAAAACGACAGTGGCTGAAGTACTGACGTGGCTTTCGAGCATCACCAGCGGGCACGTCCTTCGCGCTGTTCGCTCGGAGCACCGGGAGGGGGACAGGCAC